GATAATAGAGGGGCAGTTTGATGGAGGAAGTTCCCTGGAGGAAGGCCCCTGAGGAGGTGGTTGGAAATGGGGTCTAGCAGCCCAGGTAGGAAGGATGAGAGATGTTCTGCTATCTTACCTCTTTTGAAGAGGTATGTTCTTCAGTTATATTTTAGGAAACCCAAATCCAGTTTGTTTAGCATAAATTTCTAATTGGAATTGTGTTATAACTATTTCTTCCCCTCATTTTAGATATTAGATAGTTGAGAGTTATTTTAAAAAATCTTAAAAGTGGTTTCCCTAATGACTTAAAAAAATTGAATCATTATGTTGTACGCCTGAAACTAATATAATGCTGTATGTCAGTTATACCTCAATTAAAATTTTTTTTAATTAAAAAAAGAAAGGAGGGCTTCCCTGGTGGCGCAGTGGTTGAGAGTCCGCCTGCCGATGCAGGGGACGCGGGTTCGTGCCCCGGTCCGGGAGGATCCCACATGCCGCGGAAAGGCTGGTTCCGTGAGCCATGGCCGCTGAGCCTGCGCGTCCGGAGCCTGTGCTCCGCAACGGGAGAGGCCGCAACAGTGAGAGACCCGCGTACCACAAAACAAACAAACAAACAAAGAAAGGAAAAGAAAAACATCTTTTCACGTGGGAAGTGGGAAGAAGTGTTATTGACATGTATCGACATTCTTTCTTTGATGTCATTCGACTAGAAAAAGAAGTATTTTCTGTGTTAAAATTAATCAAATCTAGTTTTTAGCATTGTGATTATATTTATCTGCATTGTACATGTCTGAATATAAAATAAGGTTATTTCCCGAAAATTATTCCTCAGTCCTTACATACTTGAGTTCTTAAACAGTCTTTTATATTGTCTCTTCTGTTATGGGGTATACTATTACTGTTCATTACTTTATTTGAATAATAGAGGTCTGTTTGAGGATGACATGTAAGCATGGGGAACTGCTTTCAGTAGTTTGGGATGCTTATGGAGATCGTTTGATGTAACGAACCTGTTCAAAGTGAGGCAGAGAAATTTAACACAGATTTTTAAGGTCATGATCTCATGTTTTCAGGTGTTGATGTTGTAAATAAAACTTTTGAAGACCATTTTTTAAAGTATTGTAATAAGTAGAAATCGTGAATATACCCGTAGAATTAATGGAAAACATCAACTCTTCTAATTTAAAAAGTTTTTAATCTTACTGTTACTTGGGATAATATATCCAGTTATAGTGTCATACGGTCATTCAAAAAATGTTGCCTTTAAAACAGTTTAGAAGTTAAGATTGTGTGCTCTGGGAAACCTAGGTGACTTTAAAGGAAATCTAATGAGGACAAGAAACTGGTATTGAAGATTGGAAGTAGGCTTTTGACTATATCGTGATGGACACCTCCCATATATTTAGATAGATATGCTCAGGCACACCTCAGAGATACTGTGGGATCGATTCCAGGCCACCCCAATAAAGTGAATCACATGAAGTTTTTGGTTTCTCAGTGCATATAAAAGTTATGTTTACACTATACCGTCATCTGTTAAGTGTTCAATAATAGCATTATGTCTTTTAAAAAAGTACATACCTTGATTTAAAAAATTCCCCAAAAACCCTAATTACAATAGTAACATCAGAGATCACTGATCACACATCACCATAACAAACGTAGTAATAATGAAAAAGTTCGGAATATTGCAAGAATTACGAAAATGTGACACAGAGACATGAAGTGAGCAAATGCTGTTGGAAAAATGGTGCCGACAGACTTGCTTGACTCGGGGTTGCCACAAACCTTCAATTTGTAAAAATCACAATATTTGCGAAGTTCAATAAAGTGAAGCGCAGTAGAACAAGGCACACCTGTAGTCGTGGTCCGATTGGGAAATGTGAACTCTTCTTGCTTTGGGGACAGTCGTATATTCCTGACTGAGGTATGCTCAGGCAAATATGCTGATGTCAAGGCTGGAAGTGACAGGGGAGATGGGTGTTCAACCTTTTTTCTGCCCAAGCATCCAGAGCAGGTTAAGTTAACACCTGTCAAAACAGAGGCTTTCTAGGAAAATGCTTCAGAGATGGGGAAGAAAGGAGGGTGATGTGTATATTTTGAAGAAGCCCCAAATAGATGGTGATACTTCCTCTGTATGTGACGCAGTAGGGTATGTGACGGGGTAGGGCTGTTGGTACAGGTGGCATGTTTTTCCCAATGTCACGTAGTTAACCTCTGAATTTGGACCAGAACTGTGGGCTTCTCCTCCCCAGGCCAATTTTTGTTTTTCTCTGCCACACTCTTTTCCTTCTCCTTTTATTGTTTTTGTACCCTTTTCTCCTTTCTATTCTCAATAAAGGTTTAACTGTCATGTGCTTGATAGCATGAAAACTGCTGAGATGTACTAGGAAGCAGTCTTTGACCAAGTCATTACATTTAAGAACATGTGTTCATTCAACCTAGTGCCCTTTTCAGACTTTCTCATTGTCACCAGTTTCCTAAGTCTCCTAGGCTCAAAACCACTGAGCCATTTTTGAAACCAGCTTGTCTCTCATCTTCCATCTTTAAACAAGTTTTTAAGTCCTGTCATTTCTATCCCGTGGTGTCTCTTCATACATCTTCCTTTTTTTTCTCCAACATTAATCTCGTAAAGCCTCTCACAGTCCTTTGCTCGGACTGTTGAAATAAGCCCCTAATTGATCTCTGCTTGAGGTTTCTCTCTGTTTCAATCCGTATTACACATCAATTATGATAAGCTTAAATAATAGAACATCTATTGAGCACTTACCATGTGCCAGATATTGTTTAAAACAGCAGTCCCCATCCTTTTTGGCACTAGGGACCGATTTCGTGGAAGACAATTTTTCCACGGATGGGGGGGACATGGTTCAGGTGGTAATGCAGCGATGGGGAGAGGCAGATGAAGCTTTGCTCGCTGGCCTGCCGCTCACCTGTGGCCGTGCGGCCCTGTTCCTAACAGGCTGCGGACCGATAATGGTCCGTGGCCTGGTGGTTAGGGACCCCTGGTTTAAAACATTGTCTTTAACTTTAATAATAGTCTTGAGGTTCAAGCACTGTTATTAACCCATTCTGCAGATGGAAAGGGAGGCAGAGATTGAATTATCCAGTCACTCAGTAGCTAGGTAGTAAGTGGCAAAAATGAATCCAGACACTCCAGAGTGTGTGTTTCTATAGTTGAAAACACAGCTGGAGTGGTGTCACTCCTGGCACCCTTTCTCTGGCACCCTCTTACCTATTTTACAAAATCCAAATCTCTTATCCTGGCAGAAAGACTCTTTGGTCCAGCCTGCCTTTCTATCTGTAACCTACTCCTCTGTCTATGTTCTCCAGCCAAACTTGAAGTGACATTTGAACCGCTGTCTGGAAGAGAAGTGGGAGTTGGTCGGGCAAAGTAGCGGAGTAAGGAGGGAGCGGAGGGTGCGCCTGGGAGAGCTGGGGCTGGAGCCCAAGGGAGGGCCTGCACAGGGTGAGGCTGCAGGTGAAGGTCGGTCTGGACTGTGGCCCACTTCCCGGTCTTGTCTTTTTCCACAGGACATTTTCGTGAGCTCTTCACAAGATTCATGGAGACTGAGAACTGGCTTTTTTAGGAAGGTACTTTTGTAAAGCTTGATGTGAAGTTTATCTGTTTTTCCTAGATTCCTTTTTAAATTCCCCTCTCTTCTGGCCACAGCCATCCATTTGGATGCATCCGTGCTGCATTTATTTTCACTTGAATTCAAGCAGGTTGTACTTGGGAAGGACATTCTCAAGCAGGGTGCTCTTTCTCAGCCTCGATCTCTTTTCCCTGCTAGTTCAGTTTATCTTCACTCCTTTGCAAGGGAGGACCTAGCAGTCTCGTCTTGTAGGAGGTGTTTCTCGTGTCTCTTGAGCACTTTCCCACTCTTTCTATCTTTGAGGCATCCCCTGGTGAGGAGAGTGGACTCTGCAGAAGCCTGGGTTGTGTTACCACTGACCAGCCATGAGCATGGGGCCACCACATTTAGGGCCCCTGTGCAGCTGCTGGACTTCAGTTTCTTTCTATGTAAAGTGTAACAGATGCTGTAATGATGCCACCTAATTCTTGGAGCTTTCGTGGATATGAGGCATACTGGAACAAAACTTGGCATGGAAGAAGGGTTTAATGAATGTTGTTACTATTTTTTACTTTTATTACTTTTTCTTTAGTTGTGAAAAACTATTGACAGAGCATTCTGGTAAAGGGTCATACAGACCTGCTTTATTCTTACTATTACTACTGAGGGTATTCTCTTTGGTTTAGAAAAATGTGCTTGTTTGAGAGGTAAATAATGAAATCTCATTGTTATTTACCTGTCGACTTACTTTTTGACTTCCAGTGAGTTTGAAAGTTTTCCCATATGCTTATTATTGGTTTGTGAGAATTGCATCTTTTGCCTTTTTTCGGGGTGTGGGGGCAGATCTTAGTGTTTTAAATTGTATCGTTAGCTTTATATATTTAAGGATATTGTATAACACTTTGGACAGTAACATTTTCCAGACTGTTTTCATTTGGCATGGAACTCAGATGCAAATTTTAAACACTTTTGCACAGTAGAAATGGAAGAGGGAAAACTAATGATGAGTTCTAAAATGATGTATTTATTTGCTACATAAATATAGTTTTAATGAAGTGTTCCTTTTAAAAATATTATTACATTTTATAACCTCTGTGAACAGTTAACAGTTTGCTCAGTACTTAACTTTTAAAGTGTCTCTGGTCAGATAAATATCTTGCCTTTGGGGCATTTTGTAATGGAAAATCCCTGTAAATATACAGTGTTCTAATTGGAATCACAAAGCCAAATGATTGCCTCATTGGATAATTTTAAGTATTATGCTGCAATTCAATATAGGTACCCAACTAAGCACTTAACTAGATTTAAAAATATCTTGTATGTTTAACAGCTGTCTAGCTAGAACGAAAAAAGAGTGAGGAGAGGAGTTATGTGTATGTTCTCCTCTTTTCCGCCTGGGATCAGAGAGGGAGAGAGTTTTAAAAGTGTTTTTTTCTTTCTCAGCTGCTGTTGCTGTGCCTGCTTTGGGAGAAGGCAGAGGCAAAGATGAGGGAACGTATGGGGCAGCTTTCTTTCCAAAGAAACTTTATGTGCCTGAAACTTAGTAGCATCTCCAGACACTTGTTAAAGTGGCATGGTTGTGGCATAGCTGAAGTGATGGCAGCCTGTGGTAGGTGACATTTCCGCCTGTGTTGTATTCCTAGTGGCCTCTCTCTGTGTTCTGATTCTTCTTCCTGGAGGGGAAGGCAGCTAAGCAGGCAGTGTTCAGCTTTTTAATAGCTTCATAATATTTTAGCTTTTAGTTGTGTTGTAATATGTGGTTTCTCTTCCTTTTGTACTTCCAGGTTTCTGGAAGGCAACTCTAGTGTGTATGGGCCCTAGCAAAGTCGTGGTCAAGAGATCTGAAGAAAAATCCTGGAATGGGGTTGGGGAGGGAGCATCTTTGGGTAATTCAGGTTTTATATGTATGAACATATTCATACATTATGTGTGTGTGTATGTATATACGTGTATATACTTTATGTGTGTGTATATATAAAACATTTAAAGTTTTTTTTAGATAGTATTTTACTATGTTTTTGTATAGATTTTTTTAAAAAGGAAATAAATTAGAATCTAACCACCATTTATTAAAATGTGTCATTTAAGCTCTAAACAGAGACTTTTGAGCACAACCTTTCCTTTCCTCTGGCAATGATCTGTGTAACATTTCAAATCCATGGCACTTTACAAAGGAAGGAATACTTTGCGTTTATGTGACTGGACAAGATGATGAACCATCTCATTTCATGTATGAGGAAACTGACTTATTTGTTACCATGCTGCATTTATGCGGGTGTTACAGCAAGCGAGAGGAAGTCTTAAATCCTAGTTCAGTGTATTTCTATGTAGCAAGCTTGAACTTTCCTGGTGTATTTCTCATTTTACCTGTTTTGTAAATGAATATGCTAAATTTGCCTGTTACAGAGGAATCTGAGATACGGAAAGCAGAGCTTCACAAAGGTGGTTATGAGCAGCTTGAGATCTACAGTTATCCCATCTGGATGGTTCCAGTGCTTTTCCTTAACTGTCCCACAGATGACTCTGACCTGAGAGGAGGTGAATGAAAACCCCATCTTCCGACTGAAAATAGGAAGTGGCGTTCATTGAATGCACATGTCACGTTACTGCTGGTTAGGCTGACTTTAACTGTTTCATGCGTTGTCAACTACTGCTAACCCTGTCTCAGGTGATTGTATTTGCTAAACCATAAATAAGGGTATGTGTCATCTGACAAATACTAGTATGAGGGACAGCTGTCTGATAGCCTTGAGCTACACGATCACTGTCGTCCCTTCTCGTTGAAAGGCACGCTAGACTCTCAGATCTGGCTTACCGTCTAATTGAATGATGATAGTTCCTTAGCTTGCTTGAAAGAATCATTTCTTGATTTTAACCAGTATAGTTTGTCAGTTTGAATGACTTACATCATTTTTGTAATACTTTCGGTATCTTTATTTATTTATGAAAGTTAAACTTACTGAAGGCTAGATGACTGCAGTGAACATGTGAATCCTTCAGTTAAACAAGCGTTTAGCATTTATACAAGCATTCTAGTCAGGACCCCAGTTATTTGCTCATTTTCTTTGGTATTAACCTGGATGCCTGATAGAGCAACCAGCACTGTCCTGTGTAGATCTTCTAGAGTCTTAAAAATACTTTTATTCTCACAGTGGTAGTAGATTTTTTTCTTTTTTTCGAATCTTGGTCTCCTTTAGCCTGATTAGTTACCTGTTGAATAAATCATGTTATTCTCATACTGTGGCTAGAAAGAAATTTATGTAAATTAGGTCCTATATTTATAGGTGACACTGTTTTTGTACTGAGACACTGATATTGCCAGAAAAGGCTGCTGCAGCAGCTGTCGTCTCATTGCTGTTCCCTTGTGTTCAGAGCTGGATTTTGCTCGTTCAGAAGGCATCTTTTTTCTGTCCCTCTGCAGGGCTGTCCGGTGAAACAGCATCTAAAATTAAACTATCAGAAACAAGTTTGCTTTTTGTTTCCCAAAAGGACTGGAGTAGGGTGGGGTGGATGGGTTAGAGGCTATATAACTTTGAAACAGTTATGGGCCAACAAGGATCATGCAGCTACCATCATGAAGATAAACCTTTTTTTTAATTGTATTTCCCTCAAACTTAATTTGCCTCAAAAGCATGTTTGTGAACATTTTGTTCAAGTGGCCATTATTTTGGTTGCTGTGTTAAGCATGTTGCTTTCTTTAGCATGTAATTTTTCCAGTAAAATTTTAGTTTTAAGTTTTAGAAAAGTTTTGTTGAAGTCATTTACAATCAGTTACCAGTTAATCATACCTAAAATTCAGCAGCTTGTATGCTTAATTTATTGTAACATAGTAATCTTTTGTGTTGGCATTTCTAAATCTTCTCCTAATGGCAGATTCATATTTATAAATTTGTAAATGTCTGTGCTCTTTCTGTACTGTACAGTGAGTTGGTTAGGCAGCAGTTACTTACAGCATGTCTACTGAATGTTGAGCACTGTTCTAAGTCCTAGGGATTCAGTAGTGAACAAAGCTGGAGGGGGGCAGGGGGAGTGTCCGTTTCAGTAACATTATTGCACTGGGAGGTGGACTGGCTTCTCATCCATATCAGTCACTAAGTAGCTACCAGGCCAAGGAAGAAAATCACTGATCTTCATTTTCTTCAAGTGGTTGGAATTGATCCCTTGAAAGGTTTAATCTCGCTTCTAAAATTTCTCTATGGAAATTGTGTATGTTTACTTGTCTTTTGTTTAGGCCCCACACCCCTATTCCTAAAAATTAAGGGCTCAAAGGCTGCTTGGCACCTTGTTTCCTACTAAAGGGGGAAATTTTTTATTTAGATGGGCTTATTACTGATTAAACATTTTAATTTAATGGACAGTATAAGAGAAAAGGGATTTCTTTTTTTCCACTTGGAATTTTTTCATAGCTGCTGATAACCCATAAAATAACCAGGTAGTATTATCTGTTTTATTTATTTTTTTCTATTTAAACATATTTTATAATTTTAGAATATTGGGAGAAATATAAATTTACCCATATTATGTATTAAATATACTATGTACAGTATAATAATTATAGAGTCTGGCAGCTGTCTCTTGAGTGATTATTTTAATCCTTTTTGTGTTCCAGATGCTATTATTAAAAATAAGTGCTTGACATTTTACTTCAGCTATAAGAATTTGGTTTGCCGTTAGTAACTGAAAGGGTAAAGGACCGTTTACTGTCTTACTTAGGGCTAAGTAAGATTTTCTGTGATCTAGTTGAGGATAATCTGTCCATCCATCCATCCAAGTCTTTCTCAGTGGTTGCTTGAGGGCTTACCACATGCATCCTTAAGTTATAGTGTCTTGTACTCTAGGCACGTGGGCTTCAGTAGTTGTGGCACACGAGCTCTGTAGTTGTGGCTCGCGGGCTCTAGAGCGCAGGCTCAGCAGTTGTGGTGTACCGGCTTAGTTGCTCCGCGGCATGTGGGATCTTCCCGGACCAGGGCTCAAATCCGTGTCCCCTGCATTGGCAGGTGGATTCTTAACCACTGCACCACCAGGGAAGGCCTGTTTTCTTTGTTTTTAAATTGGCTGATTTTTCCCCCCCTTCCACAGTGTCTAGTCTCCTATTAGGTCCATTTAGTGAATTTTTCACTTCAATTATTTTTCATTTCTAGAATTTCTTTTTGGTTCCTATTTATATTTTCCATTTATCTGTTAAGATTTGCTGTTTGTTCTTTTATTTTGTCCGTAATTTCCTTTATATTTTAAAAGATTTCTAATCTATTTTTTGTCTGCTCATTTCACTATTTCTGTCATTTCTGGGTCTATTAATGAGGTATTTTCTTCCTGAATACAGATTTCCTTTTCCTGCTTCTTTGTGTGCCTAGTGATTTTTGACTGGATATGGGCGTTAAGAACGCTAGGCTGTTGAGCATCTGGGTTTTGTTGCCCTCCTTTTAAGAAGTGTTGAATTTTGTCCTGGTGGGCTGTTAGCTTACTTGTTGGTCATCTTGATCCTTTGAGGTTTGTTTCAGTCTCTGTTACAAGTGGAAGGCTGCCTTTTATAGGGCCAGTATAGCTTTCCTCCTAAAGTGTGGATTTTCTGGGGCCTCTGTTGAACGTCTGTGGTGTTTGTCACGGTTTCTGCACCCTAAGTGATTAGAACACTTAACTGTCTCCCAGTCCGGGGCAAGTTCTAGTAGTTGTTCAGCTTTCAGCTCCCTGCTGTTGCTCTTTGCGTGGCCTCATGGACCTTCACCTGACGATTGTGCAGCTTAGTATTTGGCCACACAGTCAAGGGCATCCCCAGGTATAGATGAATGGAGCTCCTTCTCTGCATAACTCCCTTATTTCTACTGCCTGCCCCACAGATTCCAGCTAACTCAGTAGCCTTGAACTCTCATCTCTGTCTCCTCAGTTCAGTAAGACCACTGTGTTCTGTTTGGGCCCCCCTCCCTGCACTGTACTCTGGAAATTGTCTCCAGATAGAAAGCTAAAGTGGTTGTGGGGCTCACCAAGTTTGTTTCCCTTTTCTCGGTGATCACTAGGCACACAAAGAAGTTGTTCTGTGCGGCCTGTTGTCCAGTGTCTGAAAACAGTCATTTCATCTGTTTTGACTAGCTTCGTAGTGGTTTGTTGTGAGTGAGGTAGTTCGGTACCAGGTGCTCTAAAATGGTCAGAAGTGGAAGTCTGATATTATAGGCTTTAAAGAGAAATATTTTTATCCCTATACCATTGTTACTTTTAACAATTTAATGCACAGATTTACTTAACATCTCATATTGATAAACCGAGCATTTGTTTAGGTCTTATATGAGCAACTTCATCCTGTTTGTAGACAATTGAATATGCTGTTTTGGCTATTAGGTTAAAGTGTGTGTGTGTGTGTGTGTGTGTACATGTACACATGCATTCTGTGGTGATACATATTGGCCACTAACTAGAGGGTAATAAGAAATCAGTTCATTTGTTTTTAAAATTAGATAATTTATAGAATCATAACATAGTTTCCCCTTAATGTATATTTATTTAACACCTGTGGAGGCAGGCACTGTCATGTGCTTGGGATATAAAAGTGAGTAAGAGAAATTGACTGTCAGCAATAGATGTGGCCTGTGCTGTGATTAGACTGTTCTTTACTTCTGGCTCATGAGCCCCCATTTTATTTATTTATTTATTTATTTTTATTTTTATTTTTGGCTGTGTTGAGTCTTTGTTGCTGCATGCGGACTTTCTCTAGTTGCAGCGAGCGGGGGCTACTCTTCGTTGTGGTGCGCGGGCTTCTCACTGTGGTGGCTTCTCTTGTTACAGAGCACAGGCTGTAGGTGCATGGGCTTCAGTAGTTGCGGCACGCGGGCTCTAGAGCGCAGGCTCAGTAGTTGTGGCGCACGGGCTTAGCCGCTCTGTGGCATGTGGGATCTTCCCGGACCAGGGCTCAAACCCAAGTCCCCTGCATTGGCAGGCGGATTCTTAACCACTGTGGCATTTTAAAAATACTTCTTTCATCCTTACCCCCTTCAGCTTTCTCCCTCCCTTTTTGAACCATTTCTTCACGTTCTAAATATTCCTGATGGATTCAGTTCATTCTTTCACCGAACAAATATTTATTGAATGCAGGCCACGTCCCAGGCACTGTTCTTAGTACTAATGATATCTTACTCGTGGACTTCCATTCAGTTACCCTCTTAATTTATATTTTTCTTGCCAGCCATCATTAAAAGTGCAACTGGCTACTCCTTTAACGTTTTTCTTCTCTTTTGCTATGGGTATATCTTGTTGCTAGGGACCTTGGAGGTTTCTTCCCACTTAAGCTTGGTTGCCTTTCTGTCATTTCTTAGGGAATTCTGTCTCAGAAACTTGGCCTCGTAAAAGTTTCTGCATTTGAATGTCTTAGTTTTAATTAACTTGAATTATTTTCATTTTTCTTTGTTCTTTAATATTGTTCTGTCTCTTTAAAATCTAATGTGGATTAATACTGTCACAAGGATGGTCTCCTATCAGTATATTAATAAAAAAAAATTCAAGTTAGCTACAAGTGACGCTACATGTGGGTCTTATATCAGAGATAAATG